GCGAGACCGTCGCTCTACCGTCCAAGTGGTTGGGCCCCATTCCTCCCATTTCCACTCATTTGTAGTTACAAATGAGTGGAAACTGGTTTGGTATGAAATTTTAATTTCCATTGCAATTTGTCATGTATTGTTAGTTAAATATTTTTTAAGAATGGTAGAATTCTTGTTCCCATCTACTATGATCAATTTCCTCATAGCTTTACAGTCTTTACATTTCAGCTCTGCTATATGAAGCACAGAAAAAACAAAGAGAATCCTCTACTGCTGTCATCATAAGGAAAAGTGAGCAAAATAGAGATAAACTAATTCTAAGGCATTCGTTTAGAAAATATAAATTTTCCAAAATAACTGATCTAAGTGGAAAAGATAAAAATAACAAATTAACCAATAAGACAACTATGAAAGGTAGCAGAAGGTTGCCAACAAGGAGACAGAAATTACTCGTTGTCAATGATGGATGTTTCCAGTGAGCAGAGTTGACATCCTGCACCGATCGTATGTGACATTTAACATCCTGCAACACTTCTGCTGCTATAACCATTGCACAACAAACTTCTGTGACATTACAATTCACAGTGAGGTATGTAACTAGAGTATACAACGTACTGGGGCTCGTAGGTGTGTTTTAGGAACTTTTGATGTTTGGTTTCATTTCCAGTTGTCGATAAGAGGAAGCCTGTAGGCTTATCAAGGCCCAACGGCTGGCCATTTCCATGGTGACGGTACCTATTTGCTGCTAGGTAAACAGGCATTAGATGTAAGGAAATGTGACTAAAGGGTTATTGGGTGCTTCTTTCTCAGCTACTGTCCTCCAGCCAAGGGTATATATATATAATAAGACAGTTTCATTTCCTTATTGGTGATGTCATCATAATGGAAGGAAAAACCCTCTCCCTCCCACTCCTTGACGGTCGACGATTGCACCATTGGTCAGAGGTAGAGTTTTATTCAAGTTTGACAAGCCGTACTTCACAGTCAATTTTTTTAAGAGTTACATAATTTTGTAGCTTATTCCAGTCTTTACTCGACCAAATTTTGATTCAGGACGTTTTTCAACCTAATATTAAGTTGGCCTGATACTCGAAATATGAGAATTGGCCAAACTATTTATAAATTTAATCAGCTAATATTACTAAAATGATGAAATTGTATACTAGTAACCTGAAAATTGCATGCAAGGGGTTTTATAAATAAAATATTATTTATATTCCAAAAGTTTCATCGAACACAACATTTTATTTACATTTATCTTGAACCGGAAAGAATTCCCCAGAAATTTTTTGTATTCGACACTTGAGATATGATTCACGCGGGTCGTTAATGACTCAACGACCGCTGGGAGGAACTCCGGTGCCCACAAGCACATAAACCACTAACATAAGGCTTTGTTCCGTTGAATAGTCCGACGGCTGTAGTCATAATTCAGGACTACAGTAAGCTGTACATACTGTACACCGTGACGCGGGAATATGTATTATCTGTACCTCTGATGACGCGATCATTTGCTTAGCTTCGTCCATGCGAAGTCTTCATAAATATATATATATAGAGAGTCTTGTCACATCATAGATCATCCAGCTCTAATAGCCTCACGCACCACATCCGCTTAAAAATGGCATTGTCAAAATTTGGATGTTGTCAAGAAAAATTAAAATCCTTTTTAATTTTATATGTATTTGAGAGTTTGATTCTTTATTTGTCAGTGATTAAAGTACACGTGATAATGAGTTGTAAACCTTTTATCATTTCAGTTTGGGCATATACACAATATATAATTTTTTTTTAGTTTATATTTACTGAAAGTTTACATTAATCCTGAGCTGTCTTATTAGAGGAAATCTGAGGGTTGCAATATATTATAGCACAAATCATTATTTCTAAACCCGCAATATCTGCTTAATATATTAAATATAATATGTATGAAGATATTTTTTCCGGAATATAATATAATATCAGATACATATTTTACATTAGAGGAAACGAGTGACACCATAGTATATTTATTTAGCAAACTAGTCATATGTTCTGTTGCAAAGATCAAGGAACGTGTTCAAGACGCTCTGAAATTGTGACGGAATGCGGTTGTAATGGAGGAAGGTTGTGAAAGAGAAAGGGAGGGTAGGTTGTGATGGGGGGTGGTGTGGATAGGCTGTGAGGTAGGATAGGTCATGAGTGAATGCTAGAGATCCTAAAGGGAAGGGGGGGAGGGGAAGGATAGATGTCTAGACGCAAGGACGAGTGAGTGTGGACAGTGAAAGCGGTGGTGACGGTTCGGACATCCATTTCCTTCCTGTAGTGATTTTACGAAACATTTCAACGTTTTACATAATTTATTCTCAGGTCTGTTTACATGTACTAGTGTCGTGTTTATATTAACCAACACAAGTGACTTGTAAGTTATTCAAGTCACTTGTAAGTTATACAGGTGATTTGTAAGGTATACAAGTGACTTGCAAGTTATACAAGTGACTTGTAAGTTATACAAGTGACTTGTAAGTTATACAGGTGACTTGTAAGGTATACAAGTGACTTGCAAGTTATACAAGTGACTTGTAAGTTATACAAGTGACTTGTAAGTTATACAAGTGACTTGTAAGTTATACAGGTGACTTGTAAGGTATACAAGTGACTTGCAAGTTATACAAGTGACTTGTAAGTTATACAAGTGACTTGTAAGTTATACAGGTGACTTGTAAGGTATACAAGTGACTTGCAAGTTATACAAGTGACTTGCAAGTTATACAAGTGACTTGTAAGTTACACAAGTGCTAGTAGGAGCCTGGATGCTTAATATCCCCACCTGCGTTAAATAAACAAGATACAATGAAAGTAACTTGTTCCGTTATTGTACTGTGGTTTAGTTGTGGTCCGTGTGATCTCGCGGTACCCTCGTTCACTGGGACCGTGGTCCAACTAAGCTTCTAACGTAGTTGACTGATGATTGATGAAGATTAAGCCACCCGAAGGGTGGCACGGGCATGAATAGCCCGTAAGTGGTGGCCCTTTTGAGCCATTACCAGTATCAAGAGCTGATACTGGAGATCTGTGGAGGTGCGACTGCACCCTACGTGACGGGAGATGTCTCCCCCGTGCTAACGTAGTTGTATCTGAGGTAAATATATTTACGTAGTCTCATGACGTAGTCTGTGACGTGTCAGTGACGTCAGAGTGGGGTTCCCCGCCCCGCTATAATGGACATCTTGAACAGTTTTCAGTCATTCGTCCTGTTCTTGTTTAAATTGCTGCTTTTAGACTCAATGTAAAATTATATCTATTGTTTAGATTTTGGAACAAAATTACACAGCATTGATAGATCGATCGCAAAATATTTAATTACAAGTATTTAAAAGAATAATGTGATAGAGAGGCGGTAAGCTTTTCATAAACTGAATGGAGATATTTCTATAAATGTTCAGGAAAGCGGGCAAGCTTACATTGATCGTGGGCGCCTGAACCACGTTGCTAAGCTTTCGAGTGCTTACCAAACTCTTCAACCCCTCGTCAAAGGCCAGAAATGTACCTTGAGATCTCTTTCTCTTGTGTTTTTCACTGCGTCTTGGCTTACCTGTCTCGTCTCCTGTTGTGATGAGAGCGTGGCCGGGTTGTTTAAGTATCTATGGCGGCTGTTGAGACGCAATGAGCACAGAGGCTTCAGTAGTGTTGTCCTCAGCGGTGCCCCTTGTGGCGCGGGGATGGATAAGGACCTCAATGCCTCCTAGCAAAGGATCCAAAATGGAATACTTGATCGGGGGTGTTGAAGCTGTTATCTGCCACCGGATGCGACCTCCTACATTAAGACGTTCTCCGACTCTCAACACTGCTTACTAGTCTTCTAGTTTAATGTCTTAGACATTAAGACTAGTTAGTACAGTATAGGAGAGTTGTTACCCATTTGTGGTAGTACATTAAAAAAAATAAGAAATATATATATATTTCTTTGGTTACCTGTGTTAAATGGATGAGGCTTCCATTGTTCAGATTTCCCAATGAGCTGTGCTCATTTAGAAACTGTTGAAACCAAAATAAGTATGTTCGTAACATCTTCAAGTATATAAGCTGGGAATGTCCTCTTTAATTAGTTCTTAGAACAGCAAACTCAATGAAGGTTAAGTATTCCGCCTTGGGATTGCTCACAGGAAGGGTAGAGGTGCTGGGAATAGTTGAGTCGCAGACCACACACACACATACAAACACACACACACACACACACACACACACACACACACACACACACACACACACACACATATATAGGGACATATAAAATACTCAGGGGAATTGACAAAGTGGAAATAGATCAAATGTTCACACGTAATAATAACAGAACGAGGGGACATGGGTGGAAACTGGAAACTCAGATGAGTCACAGAGATGTTAGGAAGTTTTCTTTTAGCGTGAGAGTAGTAGAAAAATGGAATGCACTTGGGGAACAGGTTGTGGAAGCAAATACTATTCATACTTTTAAAACTAGGTATGATAGGGAAATGGGACAGGAGTCATTGCTGTAAACAACCGATAGCTAGAAAGGCGGGATCCAAGAGTCAATGCTCGATCCTGCAAGCACATATAGGTGAGTACATATAGGTGAGTACACACACACACACACACACACACACACACACACACACACACACACACACTAACACTAACACTAACACTAACACGGGACCTAGTGGCTGAGTGGACAGCGCTTGGAGATCATAGTCCTAATGGCCAGGGTTCGATCCCTGATGGAGGCGGAAACAAATGGTCATAGTTTCTTTCACCCCTCATGCCCCTGTTCACCAGCAGCAAAAAAAAAAGTACCTGGGAGTTAGACAGCTGCTCCCTGAGGGATGTAAGTGCGTGTATTAGATAGAAAAATATATATTGTAGATATAATAGAGGGAAAAAATAGATTAGGTTAGAAAATCGGGATCCAAGAGCTAATAACTCTATTCTGCAGACACAAATAGTAAATACACACCCCCTCTAGCCCCCCCCCCCCACACGCGCGCCATGACAAGAGACCTTCACTGGTGGCAGTGTCAGTGTGCTTGTAGGTGCGGGGAGGAGAGGTGTTGCTGCTGCTGCTGCTGCTCCACAGGAACGGGTTATTAAGTAACACCATCACCGCTGCTCTCACTCCAATAACCAAAGGTACCAAGGCTTTTCTCAGCTTCATTGTACATTTTTTTATGAAGAGTTTATTCTTCAATGAACTCATGCTATATAGTCGTAATGGCTTGGCCTTTTACCCTTGATAATTCCCCTCCCTCCAAGGAAATCTTCGAATGTTCTTAAGCTCAGTGAGGTCTAGGAAAATTTTTGTCAAGAATACATCCTGTGAATATATTCTTTACTTGCAAGTCAGTATTTCAGGATCTTACCAAGGTAAAGTAACCAGCTTCATAATAGGCTACTTTTTTGTTCGACTTGTAATTGTGTATATTCGTGTCTAATGTATTTGTTTCCAAATGAATGATCTGATATCATTGCCTTTGTCACTTGCATCACTGAAGTTTTAGGTCACATTGTTGTTAAGGTCAGTGATTGACAGGCACTGTTGTTGTTGTTGTTATAGATTCAGCTACTCTGAACAAGTTCCAAGTAGCACGGGCTATGGTGAGCCCGTAACTTACCTGGCACAGGAGCCGGGCAAGTAGCACGGGCTATGGTGAGCCCGTAACTTACCTGGCACAGGAGCGGGGCAAGTAGCACGGGCTATGGTGAGCCCGTAGTGGACTTATCTGGCACAGGATTGGTGCCGACAGGCACTGTGAGGAAGGATATGTATACTCTCAGAGAGGTGTATCCCGCACTCGGCGTATATAAACTTGAGTTTACCTTCGGCCTGGTTACGGGCTAATCATGCCCGTGCCACCTCTTGGGTATCCTAATTTTCATTAATCAATCAAATCTTAGGCCTGGTTATTCTTAAACTATAATCAAGAATAGCTGTGTACATGCTGGTGGGTCAATGAGCTATTGGGGTGGACTACGGGCTCACCATAGCCCGTGCTACTTGGAACTTTTTGTTCCAAGTAGCGAATCTTAAACAACAACAACAACATATTGGGGTGGGCTTAATAATCGTCCAGAGGTTAATATAATCTTTAAAGCCCAACACCAAAGTTAAATGCACTGTGGACAATAATAATGGCAGTCTGAGAATGCTTATGTAGTACATGCATGGCTCGTCCTCGCGATTATCTTATGCGTATGCTTGTGACGTCATGTGTGTGTCATGCAGTAAGTTATCAAGGTTGGCAGGTGGCATGTATATGCGCAATCTTCAAGGTTATCAAGATTGGCAGGTGTCTAATACATGACATTCAGTAGGTTGTCAAGAGGGGGCAAGTGTCACGTGTCTGTCATTCAATAGGTTGTTAAGAATGACAGGTGTCATGGCTGTCAGTTAGATGATTATCAAGGGTGCCATGTGTCGCATCCAGTAGGTTGTCAAGGATGACGGGTGTCGTGCGCCTGTCAAGAGTGACGGGTGTCATGTGTCATCCAGTAGGTTGTCAAGAGTGACGGGTGTTGTGTGTCATCCAGTAGGTTGTCAAGAGTGACGGGTGTCATGTGTCTCATCCAGTAGGTTGTCAAGAGTGACGGGTGTCATGTGTCTCATCCAGTAGGTTGTCAAGAGTGACGGGTGTCATGTGTCTCATCCAGTAGGTTGTCAAGAGTGACGGGTGTCATGTGTCTCATCCAGTAGGTTGTCAAGAGTGACGGATGTTGTGTGTCATCCAGTAGGTTGTCAAGAGTGACGGGTGTCATGTGTCTCATCCAGTAGGTTGTCAAGAGTGACGGGTGTCATGTGTCTCATCCAGTAGGTTGTCAAGAGTGACGGGTGTCATGTGTCTCATCCAGTAGGTTGTCAAGAGTGACGGGTGTCATGTGTCTCATCCAGTAGGTTGTCAAGAGTGACGGGTGTCATGTGTGTCATCCAGTAGGTTGTCAAGAGTGACGGGTGTCATGTGTCTCATCCAGTAGGTTGTCAAGAGTGACGGGTGTCAAGTGTCTCATCCAGTAGGTTGTCAAGAGTGACGGGTGTCATGTGTCTCATCCAGTAGGTTGTCAAGAGTGACGGGTGTCATGTGTGTCATCCAGTAGGTTGTCAAGAGTGACGGGTGTCATGTGTCTCATCCAGTAGGTTGTCAAGAGTGACGGGTGTCATGTGTCTCATCCAGTAGGTTGTCAAGAGTTATAGGTGTAATATATTACGTAGTTTGGTATTGTGCTTAAGGCCTATCAACCTCTGCAGGAATATTAAGGCCGCCACAAAATGTTTACTGACTCACTAGCAAGTGTACTTTACAAAGTCCTGAACAGGGGGGGGGGTAGAAATAGCCTAAGCTACTCTATCCCTTTGAGATGTATTTCTTTCTTATCACAATAAACATACTTGAACTTGAAAGTCCTGAACAAAGTCCTAGACTTAGGTAAACTCTATACACAGCAAAACGAAGGGTATACGGAGAAGAATCCATCCCTAGAGACGGGTACACATCCTGCTAGGCTATCAGGCGTGTACAAATTTAACATCATTACATTGAAATCAGGAAATAAGAAACGAAATGTTCCATTATTAACTGATACAAATAATACAAATAAAAATGATTATCGTTAATATTAGCATCTATATTTCTATTTATATTGACAAAGGATATATTAATATTAAGACTAGCAACAAAGAACATTTGCGTTGTACTGGGAGACCTTTGTTGAGCAAAATATTTACCTCATGGTTATGAGGTGTTTAATGGTTTGTTCTGCTTCCCAAAGACTTTTCATCTTCAGTTGTTAGTTGTTTTCCTCAAGGAGAGAGAGTCGGCAGTTATATAATTCTGGACTTTTCCTTAATTTAAATGGCATGCATTTGTTTTTTGTTGGTCTTGTCGGAAATGGGAAGCCGGTGGCATTTTAAGGCGCCCTAGTTTGTCTAAATCCTTTAGTATATAAATTCATAATCAAGTAATCCTTATAATGTTTTTTCGACAGCTACTGGATTAATTCTCTTGCGCTAGCCTATTGGTGTAGTCTTGGCCATTATGTTTGTTATACAAACAATTACGTCTTTCATCTTCTTCAGGCGTTTGGCTGTAGTTTGTCTGCTTATATGGTCTTGACTACTAAATATTTGTATCCGATACTGTTTTCCATTCCTCTTTTTGTCTCAGAGGGATTCCTGCGGCGTGTTGAGCATCGTTGTGCTACAGTGGTTGAGCGAAGGTCTGAATGATTGTCGCATCCAGAGGCGTGACACGAAGCCAGATAACGGGGTCTGGATGGGTGTCACTTCCAGAGGCGTGACACGAAGCCAGATAACGGGGTCTGGATGGGTGTCACTTCCAGAGGACGTGACACAAAGACAGATAACGGGGTCTGGATGGGTGTCACTTCCAGAGGACGTGACACGAAGCCAGATAACGGGGGCTGGATGGGTGTCACTTCCAGAGGACGTGACACAAAGCCAGATAACGGGGGCTGGATGGGTGTCACTTCCAGAGGACGTGACACAAAGCCAGATAACGGGGTCTGGATGGGTGTCACTTCCAGAGGACGTGACACGAGGTCGGACAAGGGCATGGAAAGACAATAACCTTTTCTAGCTTATCACAAACGATTGTAAAAACGAGGTTCTAATGACAATGGATGGCAGGAACTGAACTGTTGTTTGATGGACCATTATTGAGTCGAAGCTTTTGTGTGCAACTGTGCTTACACTGACGGAACACTTCCCTATACTCTCTCAAGCTCGACTGACTCGCCACCCGTGTCCTGAAATCCTGGTTCCTCAGTCGAAGCAGGCTGCCTTTGTTTGCGTTGTCTGTTCATAAATCCTTGTATTTTTCTTCCCCCTCTCCTTCCTCAATTTTCTTTTCTTGTGAACTTAGTTTCAGCTTTCACTAGTATGTCCTCGTGGATTAGTTTACATATTTAAGGAACAGGGTGTGGGACTCCATACAGGTGCTACATCCTCTAAGACTGCTCTAACATTCGCTATATGTGGCGTTTTGAATGTTTTCTTATCTACGTTCCTGCTATCTTGCGGTGATTTCAGGGATCAATATCCCGACGGCCCGGTCTCTGACCAGGTCTTGCTCAACAAAACTGTCTGTATGATAACTACATATGCCGTTGATGTTATCCTATTTTGTGTGAATTTCTAGGGCTGATTTTACTTTATTACTAGAGTAAAAATGAATTCGTACAGCATTATACTGTACCATTATATCCAAAGTAGGATTATTGTTTGTGGAAAGCATATTACAATTGAAGGTGCGAATTTCCGACGAAGTACTTGTCAAGCTGTTTGTAAATATGTACACAGTATTGCTCCGTATTATGTTACTTAGTTATGTTTGCTAACCGAGTAAAGAAAACGGGTCATACTTCACAGGAGTGAGCTTTCTTTTGATAATTACTTACTTCACAGGAGTGAAATTGTTTATCAATATATTCAAATCTTCCTCGCTCTTTATGTTTGATTCTGCAATATTGAAATCTTTTTTGAGTCAAGAATGTCATGTCCTTGGTCTTTTCATCAATTTCTTTCAAACCTGAATACATTTAGTAGTTCCTTAAGAAAGGTTATCATGATTTATTTGTCTTGGTATAATTTTTGGACGCTAGGCTCCGTGTTCCTGCTCAAGTATGGTGACCAAAACTGTACGCAATATTCTAGAAAGTGAAATATTAATGATCTGAAAAGAGAAAGGAGGATTTTCACTGAGCGAAACTCGAAAGATCTCCGGCAATCCGAAAAAATCCAACTGAGTGACACATCCATTCACATGTGGGATATGGATATATATATAATATGTGTGTGTGTGTGTATATCACGAAAATAAACACGTGATTAAAAATGTGACAGTGTCAGACCACGGAGGAAAATTGAAACAGGAATTTCCTTAAGTACTTACGTATATTAATACATCTTCAGAAGGAGTGAAGACTCCTTCTGAAGTAATGTTAAGAAAGACATAATTCAGTGAAGACATTAAAAAGTACAAATACACAAAGTACAAAGTTAAAGAGACATAAATCAAGGTAATACAAGATATATATATATATCAGCGGCTCCATCACCCACTACAGGAAGTAGCTACTTCCTGCCCTTGGTAACCTTGATAGGATGAAGCACTGGTCTT